TATGTATTCTAGAATCATTTGGAAATATTTTTAAAACTTTCAAGAGATTTCTGAAAATGAAAAAAAGTCAAATTAAATTCCATTTATATATGCATAAACTTACATGCTATGATATTTTTGGTCTAACTTTATTTTTGCCTAATAATACCAATCAATGCTAGTTAATTCTAGTTAATGTTGTTGACATTTGAAAGGAAAACTAGTACGCACTGCTCATTGGATATTTGCCCAGGAAACMCAAGTGATGTGGCAAATTGCAACCCAGGATGTGAGCTTCCAATGGCAACCTCATCAAGATTAACAGGGGAAGGGAGGCAGGGACTGGAGCACCCCAGGATGCACAAGCCTGTGGGTTTGACCTCCAATATAAAATAAAAACCCAGAATGCTAATTGGCCCATTAGAATGAAAATCAGAATGGCTAAGAWGACTGGCACCTTTGGCAAACACATTTCCACATTTCTGATGGATAAATTCTAGAAAAAGAATTGAAATCCTCAAGTTGCCTTGGAKCATGGAGTTGGCATGAGAGGTCTTAGCCACAGTCTTTGGAGACTAAAGGCCAAGAATACCTTTTGTATCTTTCCCTGCCATAGAGATAGACACAGCCATGAAATCAGGCAGGACAAATCCTTAGAACAGGGCTCTCCAACCCTGAGCAGAATTTGGAAGGAAACTGCCAACAACTGAATGCTTTTTCTTGTTGCCTCTGCTACTGATGAGTTCAAATTCAAAACAACATATTTCTACATTAGATATGTTCAGATRTGTTCCTACCAATGAGGTCTCAAAGTGTTAAATATCTCAGAGACTGTCATTCATGTATTCAACAAATACTTGTTGAGATCCTATGATGGACCACACACAGATCTGCCCTTGCTCTCTCCAGTTTTCTGAACACCATTCACTTGTCATCCTATTTCAACTGCCTTTGTCCCACCTACACTACTAAAATTCCGGTCCTGAAAATGACTAATGTTTATGGGAATGAGGAGTTACAGCTGATGTTTGCCTTCAAAAGGATAAAAGAAACTGTACAGAATGTTAATCATTGTGTAATTCAGGCATAGGTAACAAGTGTATTTCAGGATACAAGATGTTGTCCATCTATTTTGTACTACTCAACACCTGGCCATAATAATGTTTTGGTTCCTAAATATTACTCATGGGAACCCTTAGCAAGAAAGGWGTTGAACCAACAGTGATTGTGTTCTCTGCTTCACTAGGTGGGTCTTAGGAGGAAATAAGCCACAAGTGGTAACCAGCCCCTCTGATGGAAAAAGTGGAAGGGAARAGTGGTCAATATTTTGCCTGTTATGCTCTTGTGGGCTGAAGCTTGAAATGGTCACATTTTCTTCCTGCTTTGGACCCAATATACCCATCTCAAAAACCCTTGAATAGGCATCAAGTCAGTCGTGGCCCCACAAAGGGACTCACTACCAGCATCCACTGTCAGCCCCAGCCAAGGAAGGGAAGAGAGTCTGACATCTGTAAGAACCCCCTGCTGTGACCAAGGTCCAGGAATCCTGAGGACCCATTGCCCCATCACCCAATACACAGGCTTTAAAAAGTTCCAGCCTTACTCCTTGTGTCCATCTGAAGAGCCATCTGTAGCAGCCCATAAATTAATTGCCAGTTTAGGAGATTGGTTTCAGTCTTTGTGCAAAACTCTGCAGCACTTGAGATTTATGTCTCCCTTCCTTCTTCCAGCAACTTTAAGATCTCCCTACTCCTGGTTGCTCCTCTATCTTTGGCTTTTTCTCAGCCTCCTTCATGATGTATCCTCTATCACAGCCCCATACATGGCATGCAGCAGGAAACCAGCCTTTTTTTGGTTAAGGTCATTGGCATTCTTATCTTTAAATAATAACCTTCAGGCACTTCTGCCTAAATCGGAAGCAACCCATTGATACTCCTTTTCAATCCTCCTCAAGGACCTCAAAGTGAGAATGTTTAAAATTACACTTCTCATCTTCCTTTCTCCTGCTTACAGCTCTACTCTGAATTACCTAATTTGATGAATTGCCTTTTTTTCATTAACTGATTCCCTCCATCGCCTTCAAAACCAATCAATGAACAAGTCCTTGCTGAYTCTAGAACAGCTCCCAAATCCAATCCTCCTCTACATTGCCTCAGTCAGAGCCCTACTCCTTAATGAATTACCCCTGCTTGAAGTCTCTTTATTTAAATTTACCTCTCTTTTGGCTACTGATACTTGCTTCCTTATTCTGGCAATGTGCAGACATTTGTGATCTTTCCCTATTGGACTATAAAAATTTCTTGGATAGGGAAACCTTGTCTTTTTAAAAAGACTTTTTKTCCTGTTATTCCCTTTGATAATACTGCACTTTATATATCATAAGGACTTAATAAATAGACYTTGGCAATGGAGAATGGATTATTTAAAAACGGAAGGCATTTATTTCCCAAAAGAGCAGCTCATTAGGTAATTAAATATTTACTCTACCTTCTTCCAGCCAAATTAGGTATTATAAATATACACAAAGACCACACACACTGGCACATGTAAACATGGTATGCCCTTCGCTCCATTAAGTCAATCTTACAGCAAACACAAAGAGAGGATCAATCTTCCAAGTAATTAAAACATAAACTGGGCCATATTTTTATTCCTGGCCGTCCTTGAGAAAAATGACACCATACTTATTAACAAATAAAAAATTATTTTGCAAACCCCTGTTCACAAAATGCCACCAAACATGGGTCATGCATCTTTCTTTTTTGCATTTTTGATCCCACTGCTCTGACTTAGTGTGGTAATTATATTACAAAGCTATTATCCGATAAAATGAAAATGGCAAAACAATTTAAATGCTTGTCTAAAGAGACTCCGTTAGAATGCAATTATGAGTGAAATTACAATGGCAAAATAATTGAAATGCAAGTCTGGAAGGCACAGTTATGAAACCATTAAAATGCTTCTATTGGGGACTTACAACTTTGAGTGAAACTATACACTCCTGGGGACACATTTATAATTCAGTAAATCAGGCAGCATTTATGAACACATGAAAAATCTAAGCTCTTATTGTTCTGCAGCATTATCTACACTTCTAAATGCCACCTGCGGATTGTCACATCGTTAGGGGGTACTGGGCTTGGTGAATAGGCTGATAGGAGGACTYCATGTAATTCTGTGTTCTCATTCAGTACCAAGAAGACAAGGGCATGAGGGTAAGCTGGACCTAGCCTTTTCTGTAATGTTTCCAACATAAACTAGCAACGATAACATGGAAAGATTTGTATTCTAAATTTAAGCCAATAATTATTAAATCTCTATGTGGATATATTTCTAAGAATCTATCTTCTTGTAACATTCTGCAGATATATTCCTTCAGGAAAATCTTGAAAAATTTAGGAGCCTAGGTTCACACTGATAAACTTGATCACCAAAGACAAATAAACCAACATAAAAAAATACAGCTGGGTACACAACAGATGTGCTGAAATGATCAATTTGATGAATGACCAAGTCTCTCCTCTGAAGCATGGTGAGGTCTCCATTTGATGGTTGATCACATCAATGCATCTACCAACAAATATGCAAACCATGCTCTGAACTACCACCCCTTGATCCTTTGTGGTCTGCTTTCTTGGATCCATTTCTGCTAGTTAAAAAGAAATGAATTAATTCTATGGATGCACCTTAGAAAAGAAATAAGTATTAAAAGAATAAAATGATGTAGACCCTCCTCTCCTTCATGATTCTGTATCTTGTGTTGTTAGGAAGAAAGAAAATGGCATTTAATTTTAATCATTCAGAAAATTTCTCAGCATCAATGATTATAACRTTATTTAATAAAGTTAGTAGGTTTCCACACTTTTTGTTGTTTAACCTGTAGTCTAGATTCCCTTGGAAACGTATGTACTAAGTATTTTTACTTTTATTTGCAGACTCTGAAACATAAACATTTTCTATGTACATGAACATGTTCTCTGAGGCTAAATTTGCAAAAGGAGTTTGAAAATTCTCCTGCCTTAATGTACTATGTATTTGAAGTGAACTCAAACTGTTGGGACACCCCACTGTGTGCATGTTTCTCAGTCTTTTTATTCTTGCACAAACTCAGAGAGTGTTAACTACATCTTTGTAAGAACATTGGGTGTGTGATAACTGTCATAAAAAATCAAAACTACTGTTTAGCTATTTTATAGAGAGGTAATATTATTTTTGACACACAGAATTTAAATATTAATATAACTTGAAATACATTATCATATGAGGACATTAAGTTTTGCTAGCTTAGTCACAAAGGTACAAACCTTGAAACAGTTTTTTTAAGTGACCTAGAAAAAACTCTGTGAAAAAGTCTAGTTGAAAAAATAAGCAAACATTTACATAGATTATAGGAAAAATAAAGATTAGCAGGGTGCTAAAGATATTTAAACCACAGTATTATATGTAAAACTTAAAATCACACTGGTCAGAGTTTTGTAGAATTAACCTCTCAATGTGCCAAATGAGTTTCATATAAAGACATATTTTTGGAAGTCATATCACATACCAGGGTGCCACAAAATGGCATTTAAGTCAGTGACAGGCTGCATTTATGACCATRTTTCCATGAGATTATATCACCTAGTGACGTTGTAGCTATCTTTGTTTGTGTAGGTACACTCTAGATATTTGCACAAACTCCATATTGACACACTTCTCATAACGTATCCTGTCATTAAGCAGTATGGCTTATTATAATAATATAAGTTAAAATACATTGCTCTCTTCTACTTTGAAATGCATACAAATGAATTGAATTGAAGAACAGATAGGAGATAAAGGAAATATAATAAATGTTAACTCTAGGTAGGGGATATATATTCACTGTAAAATTATATGTTTAAGATTTTTCGTAATATAGAAATTTGTTGAAAAAAAATGCAGTTCTCTAGGTGAAAGCATTTATTCTATATGGTGATTACCTGTGCTCARCAAATAAACCAGTTTTTTAAGAACTCATGTCAGTGACACAATATACTCACCCAGCCATCCAGATCCTGAATTTGGTATGCATAAGTCTGTCTCAGCACTGGGTAACACGAAGCCCACCACAAACACCTCCACACCATCCGCCATGAGAGCCATGCCCAAGACGAAGAACAGGGCCCACTGGAAGCGCCCRTGACCACACTCCTGGATTATCAGCTCATACTGCTGGGCCAGCTCTTCTTCATCAGCTCTYCTCTCGGACTCCAGCTCCCGGCGGTCCTTGTACTCATCCCCCTTGGGCTGCCCCACYGACACTATGCTGTCTTTCCCTTGGTTCATACTGGGGATGCCCTGGTACTCCCCTTCGTAGATCTCATCTTCCTCATCATGGCCCTCGGTAGCTTCACTGGAGCCTTCGTCATCATTGGCCTCCCCATCGTAGGTTTCTCCAGGTGGGTAATAGTCATCATCCTCATCTTCGTCTTGGAACCGACTGTAGGACCTCTGGGTGTATTCATCCTGGGCCCGGTCCACTGCTTGGTTCACCTTCTTTACTGTTTGCTTCTTCACCTCTTTGGCAATGTCCTTGGCACCCTTCACCAGTGAAGTCCTATCCTTGTAAGAGTCTTCCATCTTATCTCACTGATGGCCAATGAGAAAATGGGACTTTTTCAGAATGTTCAGTGGCTCAGCCCTGCCAGCATCATCCACTTTGKATTCAAAACAGAACTGCAAAAGAAGAACCAGAGGAGATATGCATTAGTCCCTTCTGATCTTTTTTTTTTTTTTAACCATCTATTTCCTGGTTTATTTTCACTGGCCCACAGTCCAAGACACAGATGAGCTTTACTTGGTTTGATCTCAATGCCTACCTGTGAATCCTGGTTCTCTGTGCAAGTGGGTTCAGTACATGGAACTAGGGGATTTTTAACTAGGATTTTTACTATTATTATTTTTGTTGTTGTTTTGCTTTAAAGAATTTTGCTCCAGGGAAATGTAACAAAAGTATTCCCCTGCAAAATAAACTAAGTATCCTAYGCCATTAAAGGGGTACCCAACACATCTCCAAAATGATATAAAGATATACCCTCATTGAGAAAAATAATACTGCTCACAGATACACAGACACCTATGCAGACTGCAAAGGCAAAACCAGAGTACTCAAAAAACTATGCTGGACCTTCTTTCTTCATACTGAAAAAAACAAACAAACAAACAAAAACCAATCAACACCTTAGCCAAAGCTATCAGACCATAATGGTAATTATCAAATTGCATTTCCTCCTACTTTCATTATGTTTACTACCAACAAACCATAACAGAGACTCACACAACATGCAAAACTGACAATGAGTATTTCTACCTGACATAGTATAGCTATCTTATAGTTACACTTGTTCTATCTATAGGAAACTGGAAGAGTTAATCAAATGACTACAGTTGGACTCAGCAGTCATTGAATGAGAACATATGTCTCATCCCTTGGGGGTCTGCCCTTTCAACCCCACTCTGCAAGTCTCCCAATCTTCATCTCTATTTTCTTCACATCTGGACACACACACACCCCTCACAAACACTCTCCCTCCTACCTTGTCCTATTGACATTCCAGTTAGCTGCTCTCTTGGATACCAGTATGTAACCTTCCGTGACCATTCTTTGGTTTTCTGTCTCATTGATAGCCCCCTAAGTCTTGGATCATTAAATTCATGCTGACCTCATGATAAATTCTATTTCACTTGTCCATTGAGCTGTCTCTTCAAATGAGTCAATGTCTATCTTTGTTCATAAAGGTAAAAAAAATCCTTCTCTCCCATCACTCATTTCCTGAACCCTAAGCTGTGGCAACTTTCCAAACACTGATTCACATAATGGTCAATTCTATGTTTTCTTTTTGTATATAGTGTAAAACACTTGGTAAGTAGCTGTTACAAATACACATTTAACTGATCATCCAAATATCACACATGAACCCAGAAATAAGAACAAAAAGATGGTTCTAAGCATTTTTCGATAATGAAAAATCAACTCATATTTCATAGTCTCTCTAAAGCAAAGAACATTTTTCAGCTTTTAATTTTTCTTAAATAAGGGTAAGTATAAATACTTGTCTTTTTTTAGAATAAGCAAAACAATTTTAATACAATTTTTAAAGATTGGAAGATTTCTACTATTTGATWTTAAGATTTATTAGTAACCCACTATAATTCATATAATATAATATGGCATAAAGACAGAAAATAAACAAATTAAACAGTACAAAGTTCAGAATTTTATCCACAAATATATGCTCAATTGATTTTTTCTTTTTTTAATTGTTCTAATTAGACATGACAGTAGAATGCATTTTGACACATTGTACACAAATGGAGCAAGTGAATTGAGCTGCTATAAACATTGATGTGGCTGCATCACTGTAGTTGAGTACTTGTTTTGAAATTCTGTTTAAAATTAGGTATTTATATATGCTGCAAATGGAGAAAGTTGGGGGATGAGTAAGGGGATCTCTGCATTATTTCTTGCCACTACATGTAGAATCTACAATGATTTCAAAGTACGAACATGTTTGTACTATCCTTGGAAAACATGTAGCTTATTTTAGCTAGCAGGTAGATTATTCAGGTAATAGAGTTATATTCTATGGCTTTTACTCACTGAATGGTAGAAATGGTAGAATGACATCTGCTTTGGAAGGTCATGGCTGAATTAAATCAGCAGTTCTCAAGGTGGAGCCTATATACCAGGTGTGGTCCACAAGAAGGCCCACAAGTACCTGCTTATATCATCGATGCTTTAGTCAATACACTTTTGTATCAGGAATAAATTCCAGAGTTATATCACATAATATGTTCCAGGTATCAATTMAGTGAAAACCAAACAATAACTAATATCTTGCTTACTGTATGCCAGGCATTGTGCTAAGAACTTTACRTATATCCTTTTATTCTTTTATTTAATACTTACTTCTGTCCTACAAAATAGATGTGGCAGTCTCCATTTTACAGATGATAACATGAAAGCTTAGAGATCTACTAGCCTAATGCCACAAAGCTTGTCAGAGGAGAAGCTGAGACTCAGGCTCTGATGTGTCTAACCTCAACTCTCACACCTCAGCCTCATCGCCTCACATGGTACTTTCACTGGGATCTTAGCAAATGCCACAGCCTTCTTTCTAATAATTCTGTAACTACCTCCCTTCATACTAAAGTTGTTTCACAACCTCTTTTTTACGTCATCTAATAGATGCTAAAATAAAGAGAATTATTGTTTATTTTATCAGTAATGGGTTTTACGTGGACAGTAATTTCAAAATGTGATCTTGTTTGTTCAGATAAATGACCCCAAGATGGTGACCTAATTTCAAAAGAATCATGTTAAAGAAAGTGCTAGTGGCCAAAGAAGCCAAGAAATTCTGTAAAGCAATGAAACTTTCATAACCTCCAAGGGATGAATGATGTTCCTTCCCACTTATTCAAGTAGGTTTCTTCCTCCATGAAATAAAGGTAATAATTATCTTACAGTATTGGGAAGATTAAATGACTTGCTGTTTACTCTGTTTTTAGGAAARAATTTGACATATATCAAGTTCCTCAGCAATAGACCCTACTAAAAGGATCCAGGTGCAAATCATTTGTGAAAGAATAATGGGGTGGGGAAGAAGGGCAGGGAGAGGAGGAGGGATAGAAACAGGAATGCAATTTTAAGCAGTGTCCTGAGGAGCAAGCTTTAGCCTGGCCTTGTAAAGGAATTCCAGAATATAAGTGATGCTCACAGTTCTCCTCCATCCAGGGCCAAGAGCTCAGCTTTCATAGCCCCATATTGGTCAATTTTTGGCTATRGGCCACCCATGGCAAGTGTGGAATAGAGGTTCTTGCAACTCTCTGCACCAGAGGGCAAAAGCAGTTCTAGTCGCCCAAAGGCAGTGTCTGAAGAATAGCACAGGTGCTGGCTAAGAGAAGCAAACACACACAGAAGCCAARCTAAGAGAACACAGAGATAGTGAAAGGGATCCAAAAGCATCCAGATGAATCATTAATAGCACCTCCTCCAATAAACACTTAATAATTAGAAGTCCTGCTCATCATGCTGAGCCATAAGACTCACAACTGATTAAAAAATAYTTTTGTGGAAGTGACTGTTTAAATCAAATGACATTCACATAAAGCAGAGCTGACATATTCAATGATATGCCCAGTCATTGTGTGTTACAATCATTTTGCMTGAATATATAAAATAYWTAAAAAAATAAGTACTACTTGTAAATAAGMGTTATTCTAAAAATGGAGTTTGGTCTTTTGTTTCTTCTTTGGTGGTTCATATCAAATAGGAACACTATTTTAGAACTGCTCTACACAAGTTCCCAACACACACAACCCACTCACACACACAGATGTTTCTGTTTCTCCACTCTGCCCACTCCTACCATCTTTCCTTCTGCATTATCCCTCATCATCACCATCATCAAAAGATCTTGGATAGCTTCTCTTCCCCAAAACATTTTAGCATCTTCTGAATGCTGGGAGTCYATTGTTCTAATAACTGTACTAATGCATCTTTAAAGTCATTGTGCACTCATAGCTCACTGATAAAKATATTATTAGCTCAGTCATGGGTAAGTGCTTCAGATGTATTGTCACCCAATAATTCTCACAACAATCAAATGGGATGCGTAATTTTTAAGTTCCCGTTTTATAGATGGAGAAACTGAAACCTTCCCAATAAGAATGCAAGCTAGACAATCCTATTCCAGAGCGCAACAGTTTAATCACCATATATACTATCTTTCAGTGGAAATGGGAGCCTCTGATGGAAATAGAGATATGAAACAGCAAGGCTGTGAAAAAAGGCAGCCCTTACACCAACAGCATAGGRATCCTCCAAAATACTTGTGATGTGCAGGGATGGGACAGAGAGGCTTTTTAATAGAGCGACCCCTCTCCTGAGCTTGCAAATGGAGAAGTCAAATGGGGATCAAATTGCTTACTGATGAGATAACCAYGCCCACATTTTACCCTGACCTTCCTTCCAATTAGGACACTCTGGGCTTGCATAGAACTATAGGAAATGAGGTGGGATGGTGAGAGGTCATCCATGGAGCTTTCCACACTGAGCACATCCTTGAGAGGAGAAAATAGGCAAATAGCTATTGATTCATCAACCCAATGTGTCTAAATCTTTGACATCAAAAATTGATCATTTGGGCCATGGTGTGGCTCAGTGGTAGAACACTTGCCTAGTATGCATGAGGCACTAGGTTCAATTCCTGGCACCACATTAAAATATAAACAAATAAAATAAAAGTATTGTGTCCATCTACAACTAAAAATTATTATCATTTAAGGAAGCCTCCAGTCTTCCAACCTTCTCAATTACCCATAAGTGTGAATTCCTGTTCCTTGAAGTACAAATCAAAAGCTACCTCTTTCATGAAATCATTTYCTTTCATTCTTGCTTAACCAAATCACATCCTCCCAGGTAAGCATAGTGGTTTCCTCTTGCCATTCAATCATGTATTTCATCATTATGGCTATTGATAAATGGTTGGTCTTCCCCATTAGGGTGCAAGTCTCTGAAAGCAGAGACTTAATAAAATAAAACACCATGAAGCAATGTTATTAAATGAGGACACAAACACCACACAGGGGCCAACTCTGGCCCTCATTTCTTCATGAGGGAGTTCTCTGCATCAGTATTTCCCCAAAGTGCTTTTTACAATACACTATAAGGTGCT